GACCTAGTAAGGCACTGCTTGTATTCCAGCAAATTCATTTTCATTTTGTGTTTGATTAAGCTAATTAATGTATTCCAACACAAAATGGCCCTTTGTGCCTTCATGAAAATACGTTTTACTATATTTGGAAAGACAGTAATACTTTTATACATGTATTTGCATCTAGTGAGTTTAGTTTACCTAATCTGGTAATCATAACTCACTAGGAATCTAGAAAAAGCATTACATAGCAAATTAGGTCACATACAAAAACACAGAAATATATTTTTAAACTCTTACTATTAAATTTACAAACGTTTAAAATACTCAGCTAACCATTTATTTATATACAATATGAAGTTTTCATGAATTAAAAATTTAATAGATATATAAATATTGAGGCTGAAGGACATAGCTCAGTGGTATGGCACATGCCTAGCATGTGAGACCCTGGGTTTAATCTCCAGCTCTGCAAACAAACAAAAGTGAATTCCATATAGGCTTTAAAAAACAGAAATCTCAATTCTGACAAATAACAAGGAAAAAAATCACATTTTAATGCCTTCTCTAGATTCAGGTCACTGTTTTGAAAGAGATCATTCCATGTCATTCATGAAAGTCATTTTACAGAGACATGAGCGAGCAGGCAGGAGTACTTACTGCTGCTGACTTACTCCAAACTCAACTCGGATTCTTACTTCTTTTGTATCAATATTTTCCACAGACTATGAGCTTTTAAACACTTTGCATCTTAAAATATTAAGCTTTTTGTGACTGGCTTGCAAGTTTAATGATTAAATGAGGTGGCAGTGATGATGGGGGGGGGGCACATTAAATTATATGCATAATCCAATTTAAACTATAATGCTGCCACAAACACACTGTCCCAGTCTAGTGTTCCTGTGGTTCTGAACGGTGTCTGAGTACTACAAGCTATACACCACCACAAGGAAAGCATCAAAGATTTAAAGACAGAACTTCAGGAGACTTATAGAAGCAAAGCACAGGCTCAGAATATACCAGGAGGTCTTATAATTTCCACAAACCTTTTTAATGAAGTCCTTCTTTTGTTTTGATTTGATTTTTAAGGACATTACCAATGCAATAAACAAAAAGCACAACTGAAATACATTTTTAAAATCAGAGTCTTTCAAGCTATTTTTTAAATGGTAAAGCATAACAAGAAAACCACTTCCTCACCATTTAACCCAATGCATATCTGTGAGTGCTAGCCTGTGAACATACCCACATTTTCTTACATTGGTATATCAAGAAACATGTTTATAAAATGACAATTATCCATATATTTTAAAATAGCACATCAAAATACTCTGGTATGTTCTGCACCATTCTATTTCATTGGGCGGGGGGCATGCTCCTATACAAAAGTACAAAATTCTAACACAATAAAGTAATGAATCTTTTAAGAAATGGAAGTGCCCATTACTGATTCAATCATCAAACACTGTATACATGTGCCAAATTATCAGAATGTACCCCATAAACATGTACAAATAAGTCCCAACAAAAATAAAGCTAAAATAAATGCTATCTCCAAGATAATAAAACTGATTTCAGAATCAACTGTGGTGATCAGACCAGAAGTCGGTGACTTTGATCCTCATTCCAAGACAACGAATTATTTTAAAATAATTCACTTGGTAGCAGGGTAAGATAAATCTATTTTTCTTTCCTTTTTGGACACTAGAGCAAAGCTATGAACTAACTAGAAAAACAAGCATGATGTTCTTAGTGTGGCGGCAGCCAGGTCATCTGCTTTAATGCTGTGAGTCACAGAGCCCGGGGACCTGCACTGTCAGGTTCTGCACCCTTTGACCTGCTGCTTTCACAGGTGAACCGTGAAGCCAGCGACCACCACCACGGCCTCATTCCAAAGGACTTCAAATCTTCATTAGGAAGCTCTTAGACCTGCCAAGTACTCACAGTAGATTCTAAAGGGTTGCATTTTGCTTTTGTAAATGACATACTTCCAGGTATGATATAATAAAAAAATGAGAGCCTGAGAATTAGATTTTTTTAAATCTTTATAAAATAATGTAAATTAATTAGCATTCATCATTAAGAAAACATTAAATGCTTATTTTTAGGTCCTCATACTAAGGTAACAGCATTATCTCAAAAGTATTTTCTAATTTGAGCTTAAAGGTCATGATGTAATCCAGTTACAATTTCACAACAGAAAAATATTTTTGTTTGGTAATACTGTTTTATGTTATATGATAAATATTTTACCAGGTTATAATATTTCTAGTGCTAAATTACCTATGGTTTCTACAAAAATATCATGTTTTAAATACTAAGCATACGGGTCATGATTACAGTTGCTGTTGTCTGATTTGATTAGTCTATTAGACTCAGCCGAGAAAGGATTCTACCGCCCTCTTGTGGTAATTTTAATGTAGTGTCTCCTCCAGGAATCCTTACTTGAATGCCGTAATTACCATCTATGTTTTTGTTTTTTCCTGTTAGCACTTCAGTTTTGACCTTAGGAATGTAGTATTTTTTATTTTATAAGACATTGTCCCCTCACTTTCCAATTATATCAAAGCCCTGTTTTTTCTTAAAATTATTTTTGGCATTTAATGCATGTGCAAAATAACTATGACAAGTCCCTGTCATCATACAAGGACTTGAAATAAATGGAAATAACTCAGTATAGCTAAGCTTTATCACATTTTCCTCCCAGAGGAAAAGGTCTTGCTATGTCAATGACCAACAAGTATCAGAAGCCACTATGAGTCCGAGTATTTTGTTTTTAGAAATAACACAGCAGTCTAATTTCTTTTAAAGAAGTCTGTATCATATGCAATAACCTATCTTTCCATCATAACACAGATACAGCTAGCCCTCCATGCTGAGGTTTCTATATTGACAAGTTCGGCCAAAAATGGATAGAAAATATTTGTGGAGAAAAAGAAATCTGTACTAACCATCTACAAACTTCTTTTTCATGTCATATTTCCTGAACACTACAGTGTAACAATGTTTGCACATCACTTACAGTATACTAGCGTAGGTATTCTGGGGATAGTTAAAGGCAGGAGGATGTGTGTATACTTTGGGGACTCACCGAGTTTCAAGGGTTGAAAGCATGAACGTGGATGGAAGACTACTCACTGGAATATGGTCAACTTAATTAGTGGTTACATCATTGACAAAATAGTGTGCCCATCCCTGTCAACCTGCTAAATGTTACCAGCTTCCCAGGGAGGGGTGGGGCCTCATGAGCCTCTTTCAAAACCAGTATGGAATAGTGATGGTCAGTCTGGTACTGCTCTTGGTGAATGGGAAAAGTGGGGAATAGACTAAAGATATAGGGATCGGTAAAGACTTTCTGAATAGGATTCTGACTATTTAGAAAACAAGGCCAATAACTGATAAATGTGACTCCATGAAATTAAAAAGCTTGTGTACAATAAAGGAAATGGTAAAGTAAATCAATCAAGTAAAGGGGCCCCTACAGAACGAGAAAACAACTTTTACTAGGATATATCTGGTAAAATATAGAGGACTGATTTCTAGAGAAGATAAAGAACTCAAAAACTAAACATCAAGAAAACAAATAACCCAATCCCCAAATGGGCATTAGAACTGAACAGAGTTCTTTGTGAGAAGAAATACAAATGGCTAATAAGGTGTTCAACATCTTTGGCCATCAGGGAATGCAAACATCATGTCATTTCAAACAAGGGATTTGTGCATCTGCACGTGAGCCTTGGGTCAATCTTCCACGTACAGTGAGGGGCAAAAGAACTTGGAGCTTCTCCACAGAATCAACAGCATATGACACACACCACTCTGACACAAAGTACGTATGTCACCACACAGTGACGAGGGTCTGAGCCATAGCAATGGCTCTCAGGACAAAGGAGAGAAAGTTCTTGATGAAGACAACAACAGACAGCCAGTTGGTATTAGTCACTGTGAGGATTAGCAGTGGGGTCTGAAGTTCTCAGTATGCTGCTGATGACTGAGTGCATATGCCATTCCCTAGGGTAGGAAATCACACTTCCAACACACTGCATTTGAAATACTACCAAAGCACAGCAAACATGCCAATGCGCTTGAGGACACCCGAGGTCACCGGATACACGAGTGTAAATAATGGTCAGGCGTTGAACTCAGACGACAGCATCACCCAGGAGAAGGGAAAAGTCCAGGAAGATGTGAAGCTGAACTTGGGCTGGGCAACACTTCCCTATTGTCTCATCCTTCTTGCGACAGCAGTTGTTTGTGGGTATGCTTGTGCGTGTGTGTGTGCGTGTGCATGTGCGTGCGCACGTGCCGTGAAGGCCTGGGGTCAACCTTGGGGCTGATTTCCAGGTGTCAGCTATCTCGTTTTATGAGACAGGGTCTCTCACTGGCCTGGGACTTGCTGAACAGGCCGAGTGAGCAGGCTAGCGAATGCTAGGGATCCTCCTGTTTCAGTTCCCCGATGCTGGGATTACAAGCACACACACTACTATGCAAGCTTTTTTACGGGAATTCTGGGGACCAAACTCAGACCTTCTGGCTGATGTGGTAAGCCCCTGACTAAGTTACCTCCTTACTCCTAACAGAGCAACTTTTCTCAGATAACCGTAAGAGTGGCTTATGTTGGAGAAACAGTCAGTGGTTTAGACTTCCTGCATTGTATGTATCAGAAGACCAAGGGTCAGAGAGGTGAGTCATTTTATTGAACATTCTGACTGAGAATTCACTTTTCTTCACTGAGCCTGAGGTGTTACGTGTAAGTATTTAAATACCCTGTTTCTAGTGTTTTGTCCTCCTGTCCCTTTTTGCTTTATACTTCTCCAGAATAAGCAAAGGGCAATTGTATAGGAGGCACAGAGGATGGTGGCGAGGCATTCTGAAGAGCAAAGCAACCATTGACATTCTTTATAGTTCTTCCCAAATCTTAAATGGTTGACAATGGTTTTCACTAGCAAAGTCTATCGTACACGCTAGAACACATTTTCATTCAAGAAAAGCCAAGAGTGAGTTTTTTTTTGTTTGAATACCTGCTTGGCTTGGACGCTGCCAGTTCGGTGACTTGATGGCGCTGGTGGATCCTACAGGCTTGAAGGCAGCCGCGGTCCTGAGGCCGGCCACCCCTGGCTTGCTGGAACCTGGGCTCTCTAGGCTCTCAGACTTGCTCAGAGGTGAAGCTCCTGGTGACGCTGACTGCTGAGAGGGCTCCTGAGTGCTACTGTAGGGAAGGGAAGGAGACAGCTGTGGTGAGGGCAACAATCTAATTCAGCGACGACTCTTTCTTTTCCAAATCTATCGTAGTTTTATGGAAAACAAAATAGGGATGGATTTTTCTTTATGAAAAAGGAAACTCTGAAAGTGACTAGAACACATGGAACATTCAAGTGGAAAGGGGAACACTGGTGGCGGAAAGTGTAGGTGGTGAGACAGACAGAGTAAAGGAGAGCAACCAAAACAAAGTCGAAATGAAAATGCAGCCGGGCGGTGGTGGCGCACGCCTTTAATCCCAGCACTCGGGAGGCAGTTCCAGGAGGATCTCTGTGAGTTCGAGGCCAGTCTGGGCTACCAAGTGAGTCCCAGGAAAGGCGCAAAGCTACGAAGAGAAACCCTGTCTCGAAAAACCAAAAAAAAAA